ACACTAATAATTATGCTAAGAACTTGTTAGCAAGAAGATTAGTTGGTACATATAAAACCCGATTGCATGATATAGTCGAGTGGGGGTGTGGGGTGGACGAGAGAACTTGCGTAAGTAGAGTCCACTTGAAAAAGAGTTTGAGGTTGAATTTCCAAAGATTGGTAACATTGAGTTAAATTCTTTATAAACTATCTTTGAATAGATTCTCCCCGTACACCGTGGTGTTATCCTCTATCTTGTGTTTTGATAAGGCATAGTATGTACAAGAGGTCACTTATAAAAGTTTTTAAACTTAATGTTTTCTTTCTGCCTTCTTAGTGCTTCATTACTTACGATCGAGGAGGTTCAAACTCCCACCTTGGTTAAGAATTTTAGAGCTAGCTCATAGTTATTGACAGAAGATTAGGAGGTTGTACCCGGGCTAGGAGTGACAACAAGACTCAAACTTTGCATCTGTGTAATTAAATTGGGTTTTAACATTTAATATTGATTATCTATCAATTTAGGCTTGCCTAAGATCCTAAGATATGTTAATCCAGAGATATTTTGTTGTGAGGTGCTTAAAAGAGTAAAAATAATTATCAGCACATGTGAGATAAAGATGAGGAGAAGGTTAGATTTGTCTTAACCCTATAGGCCTTACCATCAATGCTGATGTAACCTTCATGGTGTACTCATCTCTTCAAATGACATCCCATAAACTAAATAAAAACTTTTTCATCGATCCCATTATGCTCAAATGGTTATCTAAAAAAGGGGAAATTTGAATGTTTTTATTACATCATTAGATACATTGAAACCAAAATATTCTTTCCACCCTAATTTGGGATATCAATAACAAACTAACAATGTTTCAACATATTAACTCTATAAAAAACACATTATATGAGTTCTATTTAATTTGTAAGGTTGTGAGTAATAGTTGGGAGTAAGCACATATGGCATATTCTTCCTTAGAAATTCAAAAAAAATAGTGTGTGCTACAAGTAGTATCACATGAATCATGAGTGCGATAATTAGGCACTAGTAAACATGCTGAGAATTTGTCAGCATATATGTGAAACCCGATTGCATGTTATAATTAATAGGGAGTCAAGATTGATAACTAAGTTCTCTTGATGAATCTGAGATGTAACAAGAGATAGGCAAGAGAATTTATAGAAATAGTTAGCTCTTGAAAATGTGTTTGAGATAGAATACCCTAAGATAGGTGATAAGCTTGAGTTAAATGTTCTATAAACCATATATGGATAAAGTATTCTCCCTTGTGCACCTTGATGTTGATCATCTAGATTCTTGTTTTGGTAGGGCATATTAAACATAAAAGGTTGACAAAAAAAAGGCATAAGCGACTGCTTACGATAGGAATTGTTGGGTTTTGAACCTTAATTCGTCTACCACTTAGGCTCGTATGACCTAGGGGCAATGTGTTTCAAGCCACAACATTAGTTATGGGTTCATATGTTAGCTCTTGTTTGTCTTCACTAAGTCGATAGAATTACATGATTGGAAGAGGTAGCGATTGAGTCATTGACTAATCAAGAAAAATGGTAATGATTCTTCTTTAGCTGAAACTTAGGAGTGAATGAAGTTAATTTTAATTGAAAAGCATGTTAAATATCTAAATGAAGAGAGATAAGTACCGATACGTGCCAGAAGATTTGCGGTGGTGGAATAATGAATTATGATCATAGTATTGCTTGGAAACTTCAACACACACTTAGACAATTAAAGAGAAGTAAGTAGGATGCGACATCTTAACTTCTTACGTAAAATACCTTGTTAAGGAGAAACAACCACAGGGACTAGCCTAGTTAAAATAATCTATTATGAATGGTGAGTGCATTTATTCATTCTTCTCCTAAATTAGAGAAGATAGAGTTACAAAATTGATCATTGTAAATGCATAACAATGAAGGCAGACTGCATAGTTCATTGATAATAGATGTTTTCTGACTGTAATGAATGTAGTACTTAATGATAGCATACTGCAAGTGTCGTGGTTGATTACTATGGAGACAATTGTTCCATATGAATGTTGTAAATGTTGGTATAGGCAAAAGTTGAAAGCCATGATAGTAGTTGGTCGTGGGGGCCGCAGACGGTTGCTTCAGAAGCACTGTTGGCTACAAATGCTATAGTAGGAAGCTATAAAAGTTGTGAGCCACAAATGTTGTAGTTGGTCACATAACTCGTAGTGATAAACTGTGATGAAATATATAGATTGTAGATTCTGAGTCGGGAGCTGTTGAGTTATGGATCACATCGGTCGTAGTTGGTCATATTAAGTATAGCGGTGAGCTACGATATGGTCTGTAGGCTGCAACAGTAGCAAGTTGTGATGACGTCAGTAAGCCACAAAGGTCAGAGTCGGGATCTGCATGTGTTGTGGACCACATAGATCATCGTTCGTCGTGCAGGTAGTAGTGGTGAATTGTAATGACATTCATAAGTCATAGAGGGCGGAGTTGGGTGCTTCATGAGATGTGGACAACATAAGATGTAGTTCGTTATGTAGGCCGTAGTGGTGCATTGTGATGACGTTTATAGACCGCGAGGTCCGAAGTTATGATATGCATGAGATGTGGACCAAGTAGGTCGTAGTTGGCATGCAGGCCATAGTGGTGAGATATGATGACTTCTGTAAGCCACAAAGACTGGAGCTGAGAGCCGCACAAGCAATATAACATGTAAGTCGTAGTTGACACTTAAGTTATAGTGGTGGGTTGCAAGGAGAAAGCATTTGAAGCCCAGAAAAAGTCACTGTCTTCGAAAGGCTTCATCGCTCTGCATTTGGAGTGCGTTGTTACACCATTATGGGGTGAGTCGTTGCATCATATTTGGGATGCATTGTTACACTGTCTTTAGAAGGAGTCGTTGCACCGTATGTTGGGTATGTTGTTCTAAAAGATACGACGTGAATTCATAGTGGGCCAAATGATGATTCTGGAGCATTGGTTGACTATAGAGGTTGTAATAGGAAGCTAAATGTGCTCTGAGCTACATAGGCCATAGTTGGTCATTAAGTCGTAGTGGTAAGCTGTGATGAAATCTATAGGTTACAGTGGCCATAGTTGGGAGCTACATGAGTTGTGAACCACATGGGTCATAGTTAGTTATATTGAATATAATAGTGAGCTGTGATGACGTTTGTGAGCCGTAGTGACCAAGGATGGGAGCTGCATGAGCTGTGAGCCACATAGGCCATAATGGTGAGCTATGGTGACGTTCGTAGGCCGCAGAGACACGAGTTGGGAGCTACACGAGTTGTGGATTATGTAGGTTGTAGTTGGTTACGTAGGCAGTAATTGTGAGTTATGATGACATCCATAGGTCGCAGAGGCCGCAGTAGGGAGTTGTGTGAGCTGCAAACCACATAGGTCGTAGTTGGTTACACATGTTGTAGTGATATGCTATGATGGCGTCCATAGGCATCTTGGTTGGGGCAAGAGCTGCACAAGCTGTCAACTATACAGGTAATAGTTGATCATTTAGGTTGTAGTTGTGAGCTATGTTGACGTCCATAGCTGCAGAGGCCAAAGTTGAGAGTTGCATGAGCTATGAACTAGATAAGCCGTAGTTATTCATGTTAAACATAGTGGTGGGATGCAAGGAGATGGTTTTAGAAGCTCAGAATGTATTGTTTTACTGTCTTCAGGAGGCGTTTGTTACATCATCTTCGGGAGGTGTTTGTTACACTGTTATTGGGGTGCATCTTTGCACCTTTTTTGTGATACATTGTTACATCATTTTCAGGAGGCATCATAATGCCGTATGTGGGGGCTCATTGTTCTCCAGGATACCTCATTACTCTAGAATGTATGAAGGGATTCTGCGGTGTACGTCATGATATTGCAAGGGATTTTATTGGAATGAACCATTGGCGGCCAATCGTGGTTAATGGTGGCCGACGGACGGTGTTCGGCTGCGAACGTCATCTATAGAAGTGAGAGGTATTTGTCGAATCTGCAGAGCAGAAGCGATGCGTGACTTTAGTTCCTCATTCAAGTTTCAATTTTATTATGTCTCAAGATTTTCCTCCTCTCAATAAAGTGGTAGGACTCTATTTATGGAGTCTATAAGAGGTCTTTCTGCAAATAAGAAAAGAATGCAAACTACCCCATCAGACGACGTGGAGAGATTCCCTTACTCAGATGAAGTTCATTGAATGTTTCTTACCATAAAATTACTTCATTATTCGTCTTATGCTCTAGATTCAAGCCTGAAGATGAAAATTTGTTGCGGGTGTATCACATATAAAGAAGTCAATTTTAGTACTCAAGCTTGTTAAAACTTCAAACATAAAGATATAAGTATGTGGTCGACAATCAATCGAATCTTATCCTGGTAATTTTTCTGTAAGATACTTTATATGAATAAAGATTCATGAATGTTTTTTATAATATGAAGCAAAAAGATATACATATATATATATATATATATAGGTATAATTCTTCATCTAGAGTTTATTAGACCTAATCAACGTTTGAAATTTTAAATGATTCATATGTAAATATATTTTTTTAAATTTAGCATTTTAATAATCATAAACAAACTTTTAAGCAGTTTTATCAAATAGGGGTTGTATGATCTTTTTTTCTTATAAACAGCTGTCCGATAGCTGGCTTCACATAGCTGCACCAAACAGACAACCAGCTTCCCCCGCAATAGCTTTCTGCGACAGCGATACTGTAGCTGAAAAGTTAAGAAGATAATCAACAAATTACGTAGCTCACTTGATTATTAAACTAAATTCAATTCCGTATCCGTGAAAAACGTGGCCAAGCCGTAAAACATATTATTAATAAGGCGGCTAAAAAAATTAATGGCCGGCCCAAATCGGATCCCTACTCCCACAAACAACCTCTAATCCCTCTATAAAACCCACTTCAAAACCCCAAACATCAATAATACTCCCCAAACAACAAATGGCAAAATCCATTGTACTTTTTCTAATCGCAATCTTCTCTTCTTCCTTCATCTCCCTCTTAACAAACGCCATGATTTCAAGCTTCCGAGCTTTTGCGGCCTATCTGCTGGTCTCCGAAGAGCTCTGCAACGATACAGACTGCGTTATTTGTCTGTGTAAGATCCAAAGAGGAAAGAAGACTGATGGTCTGAGATGCAGGCACGTGTTCCACAAGCAATGCTTTGCTGAATGGGTGAGGAAGAGCAAAGGCGCAACTTGTCCTCTCTGTAGAGTTAGTGTGGTGGGCGACGGCGGCTTGACGGCGGCGGACGGTGGCGGAGGAGATGGAGGGGTTATCGGAAGCGGAGATTTCATTGTTGTATCTCCATTTGGTAAATCGAGGAGTAGGGATTTGTGTTGGATTAGATAAGGAATCAGTTGAAGAAATAAATAAAAAAAGAATTTTTGATTAAAATAGGAACGCTATATTTTGTAAGTTAAGGGGGTGTTTCATTTGGCGTATAAGGAACGCAGTCTAGAATGGATGCAATGTAAATGTAATTTATTGTATTTGGATTATTTTAATGTTATTTGGGTTGGTATAAAATAAATGTGACATTTTATTTTATATTTTTTTTGTTTGATTTGAAAAAAAATAAAATTATTATAAATACGTAGCAAATGAGGGTGTGGAAATTGGTGGTTGGTGACAGGTGTTCTGCGGTGTGAGTGGAGATTGTCAGCGGCGGGTGGAGGCGTTGACGGTGGCAAGTTGTGGGTCGATGCCGGAGGGGACAATTAGCGACAATTTGCCAATTGGGGGATGTATGTAAATGCCCTCGCTATACTTTGTGAGACTATACAATTGTGATTTCATGATTTTTTGACATTCCTAGAAGCATAATGATTTATAGATATTTTGTGATCTTACTAATATAACAAAAAGGTTTAATTTTAGAATAAATCCCTCTACATTAAAATGTTTAGAATAAATCCCTCCACATTTAAACTCTTAGAATGATTCTTTGCAAAGAGTATCAGATGCTCGGGATTACTTATCTTGTCGTAATCAGCTGCTAGTTGCGTGTAAGCTGAAGCTCTTGTAACTAATTTCCGAGCTAATAGATAATACTCTCATGAGATTTTGGTGCATTTTCTGTTCTTTGAAAAATGCTTTTTGCCCTGATTTTAGTAACACGATGCATCGTAATATTGATTTCACGTTGCGCCCGATACCCTCTGTTTCACTTTTTTACGTTGGATTGTTACTCGGAAGTCGGAAGCCATCACCTTGTTGCTGCTTCCTTCATTCCACTCTTGTCAAACTCGAACTTCTCTGTGCGTGAAGGCGAGGGATTCTGAGTGAGGTGCTTTCAATCTTCATTCTTCTTATCTACTCTAATTATTGTTGGTTAGTTTCTGTCATTTTTTATATCTATATTTTTGAATAGTAAATTATGGTTGTTATCGATATATCCTTATGCTCCTTTCTTTAGTTGCATCCATGTATTTCGATATCAAAGTGACTAATACATAAGCATCACTGAATTAACTACAACCATATAAGGTTACAAACAAAACCAATATAACTAAATAACATTACAATAATAAATAAAAAGCATAACGAGGAATGAAAAACTCTCCAGTGAAGCGGCATGTCCAAAGCAACATAAATATCTAGAACATCATGAAAAATTATAAACAGATAGAAATGTCCCACAAAAATCTAAAAAAAAGTGTCCCTAAAATGTCATTGCTCCAATGAAAATAATGTAGGTGAGCTACCCTGTGGTTAGCGAGCATCGCTATGAATAACCCGCTCTGGGTCGAATCTTCAAGTAACTTCATAGAGAACAAATACAACGAAATGTCTTCTTAATTTCAAAAGTTGCATCCAAATTTCTCATAACCTGCTAGACAAAAGTTGCTTGTGATGGGTCAAATTCATTGGTGAATGAAGCTACCACATAAGGAAAGCAACTCCTTACTTCTTTTTTCTTTGCAACCTAGGAACGCTTTAACCGGCTCATGGACTCAGCTTCATGGAGGTCCGGGCTTGGGGCTTCAATAGAATCACCTGTTTGTTGAGCTCCCAAATTTTTGGGGATGCCACCAAACCCTGCCTCTCAGAGGGCAAATACATTGTTACTCATTGCTACAACACCTCTAAACATATGATCTAACTTCTTCTCCAACTCAGGATTGATTCTAATGCATTTAATTTTTTGGCAGTATGTGTCACCTATAAATTGATATAACATATTGTTGGATTTAAAAACAAATTAAAAATTAATGAAAATAGTGGATATTTAAAAAATATTCATTGCTAGTCTTTTTGTCCACCACTTATCAGAAACGTCAATCATTTGTTTTACCGGATCCCACCCCAAGCCTATTGATCCTCACTTCATTTCCTTCAAAAATTTTCAATTCTTTATTAGCTAATCCCATTTTTTTTTAATTGCATCCTATCATACTCTCTGCATGTACTTTTCTTAAAATTTTCAATAATATTTTGTCAGTCTTCCTTGTTGAAATATGTTGTCGGTCTATTTTCCAGTTCGATCTCCTTGAGACATATGTCACAGAATATTAACTTTGTCTCTTTATACCACATTACAAGTGAACTGGCCTCTTTTGTCTTAATCATTGTATTACTAGCATGAAAAAAACTAATTAACATGAATAAGAATGTCACAATATCGTAACTCAAAGAAAAATAAGAATGTCACAATATCATCACTAATGCCCCTTTACACCACACTACAACCCCACCTACACATCACCATACCACCTCCACACGCAACACCTCCACACACTAAGACATTAAGACACCAACACATCCACAACATCACTACCACCACCTCCAAAAACCAACACCTCTACATGAACACAACCACATGCCAACCACCACCTCCACCACCATCACCTCTACACATCCACTATCGCATCCTCTAACACAAACACAACTACACACCAACCACCACCTCCGCAATACCACCACCTCCACACATCCCACATTTTTCATTTGATTTGGTTACATATAGAGCACCCAAAATATTGCTAACAACAAATCAAGCACCCTCTTTTAGCCATTTCTCAAACTTTTACTCAAACATCACAGGTAAAGATGCACTCCATATTTTTTATTTTTAGAATATCACATGCAGGTAGGGCTGTCAATACGGCTCGTTGTTCGCGAACAGCTCGTGTTCGGCTTGTTAAGAAGCTCGTATTCGGCTTGTTCACTAAGTTAATGAGCCGAACACGAACAAAGTTTTGTTCATTCGTATTGGGCTCGTTTTGGCTCAAAATACTACTAATTATATATATATATATATATATATATACATATATTTGATGAGTGGTATTTTAAAAAAAATTAATTGACTACAAGGCTACAAAGATTTATAATCAATTAAAAGTATTAATTAAGAAAATAGAATAAAAATTATTAAATTAAATTTATATGATGTTTTAATATAAACAAAAATTTTTAAATCTTGCCCCGATCTTTAATATTTTATGACTACGCAATTAGGGTTATCAAGACGACTCTTTGTTCGTGAACGACTTGTGTTCGGCTCATTAAACAAACGAGACGAACATGAACACACTTTTTGAGCTCGAAATATAAACGAGCCGAACATGAGCGGAGCCTGTGCTCGCTCGTGCTCGGCTCATTTACACCCGCTACATACAGGGCACCAAAAACATTGCTAACAACATCAAGCACCCTCTTTTAGACATTTCTCAAATTCTCACTCAAATATCAAATGTAAAGATAAAACCCCATTTCATATTTTTCATTTTTAACATTCTACATATAGGGCACCCGAAACATTGATAGCAACAAATCAATCACTCTCTTTTAGCCATTTCTCAAACTCTCACTCAAACATCAAAGATAAAGATAAAGCTTCATTCCATATTTTTCATTTTTAGGATGTCATCATATATATATATATATATATATATATGAGACACACGCGCGTGCGCGCATCAAAACCCAACCAGCTAAATTTTTTTGTGTCAAATTAAGCCAAAAGGAAGCTATTAAATTATTTTTAAAAGCTTTCAAGAAATAATTAAGAGATCAGAAAAATTCCAAATCTGACATACTTATAGTTAAATTGGGAGTCTCGTAAAGATGAATCCAACAAGTTCAATATCACTCATTTCTAACATCATTAAAGCAACAAATGCCGACAGAACACCGTTCAATCAGGGGAATCTCCTCAGTTCGTTTGATCTGAGTGGTCCAAATTTCTTTCTTATATCCAATCTAGAGTCGATAAATAAAGCCCTACACCCTCTTGAGAAGAGGACTAGACATTGTGCTAGAGGAAGACTAGAGCCTAAAGAAAAAGAATCCAAAGTCTAAAATTATGCATCGACAATCTGGTGAACGCTTTCTACTCTTGTAGCCGCAAATCATTGTCGACCACCGAACCACCACTCATCGGCTGTCACCAACCACCATTGGTTGTCACCTGCATCTTGTGACGAAGCTCCTTGCAGAATCATAACGTGCACTATGCAATTTCAATGTACATTGCGGAACAGTGAAGCACCCGCAAAGCCACACGCCTTATTTAAAGTCGGGTATCAATGCACCTCAAAGAAGGAATACTGGAGTCCCAAAAACTATTAAAAACTGCAATCACCCCTCTGACCACTGTGTAACAAAGATTTTATCTTGAGAGAATGTGCAGTTCTCTTCCGTTCATAGGACAATGACATAGTATGTGCAATTATTAATTCATAATGAATTATTTTGATTGGGTCAAACCCTGTTATTTTTTTCATTTACAGATTTTTCATGTAAACACTTATGACATCTCTACTAGTTGTTTGCTTTTTTCTGCGTGTGCCGGATTCTCGTAAAAAAACTAAAATAAAAATGCATTACTCTACCACCGTAAATCCTCTGTCACAATCATATTTTTAACCTCTCATCAAAAATATCATTTTTTTGCTTCGTAAAAGGCAAATGCTCCTCTTTATTTTTATGCTTACGTCATAACACAATGTGTTATAAATATAAATATCGAACATATTTAAATTTATGCGGTAGGTATAATTTTAAATTTGATTATAATTTTTAAAATTTTCAATCGACATTTAATATTTGTCCTTTTTTTAACGGTAGGTTTTTGCACGTTTAAATGACATTAAACATTTCACATCTCTAACGGAACAAAAACAGGAATCTTACTGAATCTGTTGTCGTATCCTCAGGACAAATGAGATTCCGTCCACTAGAAATTAAAATGATTTTAATAATTAAGATGGATTGAATAATTAAAATAACCAAATCAGTAAGATTCCTGTTTTTGTGCCGTTAGAGATGTGAAATGTTTACTGTCATGTAAACGTGAAATCCATTATCCTGCCCAATGCCAAAACGTACCGTTAAAAAAAGGACAAATATTAAATGTCGATTAAATTTTTTAAAACTATAATCAAATTTAAAATTATACTACCAGCTTAATGATAAAAGTTTAATATGATTGTAATAAATTCTTGGTGATACTAGATTGCAAGGGTTGTAGTTGATTGCTATAGAGGCAGTAGTTTGTTGTAAATGTTATATACAGTGGTTGTATCTTTAACTTATCGTATAGGCCATAGTTGAAAGACATAATAAAAGTTAGTCATGTGGGTCATAGATGATTGCTTTAGAATCGTCAGTTGGCCACAGAGTCTGTGCAAGAAATTATAGGAGTTGTGAATCACGTAGACGACAGTTGGTCACATAGGTCGCAGTGGTGAGCTGAGAATGTTTGTAGGCCGTAGAGG